GTACATGTATGTGTGTATTTGTATGCATGTATATGCGATTATATGCGTGCAAGTGTATCCGTTTTGCATGTGTTTTACGTTTGTATGTGTTTAGTTTATTTTTCTATTTTCTAAAATTATTGTGCCATTCTTATTCTTATGTCACTGATTTGCGAAATGACTCGTCCTTCCGTGACTTTCCGCGACCCGAGACAATTGTATTTCTCGATCCGACTCTTTTTTGCCGATTTTCGCGACCAGGGCGTGGCCTTTGGTGTTTCCTTTCGCGGTCATGAAGAACGTCAATCGTCATGAAACTCGAGATGGGTGTAGTGAGCAGTCAACACATTTTGCCAAATTCACGGCATTCCAGCAGGATTCTTGCCAGTTTTGCAAAGCCTCTTTAAAGATTGACATTAAGTTCATTTTGCCTCGTCTTTTTTTTTTTTTCAGTTTTTTAGCAATCGTTTACTTTTGGTTTGTTTGTGTTTAATTGCGCTTTTATTGTGCTTTATTGTCTTCAGTTGTTTCTTACTTTCTTTTATTGATTTATCTTGATTCATCGGATCGTTATTCAGCCTTCCTCTATTACATTTTTTTTTTTACTATTTCCCTTACCATTTTCTTACGTTTATTTCCTTTTCCACTGTTTACTTTGCTTCTGATGTTCCTTGAATTTTATCCCGTTTTCTATTTCATAAATGCTTATCCATCATTTTATTGCAATTCATTGGTTTTATTTCCGTTTCTCACTTTTGCTTTTATACCACCATACTCTTTATCACCTTTCAAAATCTTATCAATCTTTCACTTGATTCACTTATGCTTTTATGTTTTTATCATTTACGAATTTTACTCAGTTGTTCATTTTAAAGTTGCCTGTGTTCTTAGCTGCTTTCTGGGTTTGGAGTTGCTATATTTACCTTTTCTCTTGTTCTTATCCCCGCTATCTAACCATCTGTAAATCTATCTATCTATTTGTAAACCTACTTATCGATCTATCTGTAAATCTATCCCTCTATCTATGCATGTTATACTCACGCCTAACTATTAACCTCTCTGCTCTATCGTTATACTCGCATGGGAGCATGTCTACAGAGATACATGTTATACTCACACCTAAGTATGTACATGTTATACTGATATCTATACGTAAGTATACAGAGCTCTATCTATACATGACTAAGTATGCTCTATCTATACATGTTATACTCTAAGTATACAGAGATGTACAGGAGATGTAAACAGAGCTCTATCTATACATGACTAAGTATGCTCTATCTATACTATACTCATGTGATTATGGTAAGTATAGGGTCTGTATACAGAGTATGATGGTATCTATCTATACATGTTAAGTATAGTACATGTTATACTCACGCCTAAGTATACAGAGCTCTATCTATACATGTTATACTCACGCCTAAGTATACAGAGCCCTCTCATCTACCTTCAACCTGTGCGCAAGAAAGTATATTTATAGCCACGCGCACAGAAGCTGCAGCCCGGCCCGCACCTGCTCATCAAGGGCACCAGAAGCAAAGCCGCGAGAAGCCCAAGCTTGAATGTCGGAGGACAAGAAGTCAGGCCAAAGAGGAGAATGTAAAGTGAATGTAATTTGAATGTAGTCTGGGTGCAGGAGAATAATGCATGGCCCACGACCTGCTCCAGCTTGTAACTTCATGTGGAAAAATGTGGTGATTTGAGTATTACAAGAGCGCCGTCTTCGAAGAGCTTTGCTGAGTGTCAGAGGATGAGAAACTGAGCGAAGGAGTGGGTCCCTGAGGTTCCTTCCGGGCCCACACTTTCACCATCCGCTTTTGGGATCGATGGCGACTTACACTTGTAGAACCTGGTGATGGAAGGTTCAACTGAATGTCCTCAGAATATAGTTTGAAGGAAGCACAAAAGAATAAGCATATCCGTTTACATTTCTCGCGTTTGTCCACCTAAGGGCGAGGAATAAGAGCGAAATTGTCTTATGTTTGAGGAAGCTGGATGTGGGCGAACGAGGCCGGGCCAGGGAAGAGACGAAAAGGACGGCTGAATAGTTTTTTTTTTGAATTTTGATAGTCATGTAGTAAAAATACTAACCTACGCCCGTGCTCTCTCTCTCTCTTTCTCTCATTCACATAAATACACACACTCTCTCTCTATCTCACACTCACACACACTCTCTCTTTCTCTCTCTCACATACCTCTCTCTCTTTCTCTCTCACACACACACTCTCTCTCTCTCTCTCACATACACTCTCTCTCTTTCTCTCTCACACACACTCTTTCTCTCTCTCTTTCTCTCTCTCACACACACCCTCTCTCTCTCAAACACACACACACTCCTTCTCTCTCTCTCTCTCTCACACACACTCTCTTTCTCTCTCTCCTCTCTCTCTCTCTCTCTCTCTCACACACACACACACACTCTCTCGTCTCTCTCTCTCTATCTCTCCCTCCCTCTCTCTCTCTCTCACACACACACACTCTCTCTGTCTCTCTCTCTCTATCTCTCCTCTCTCTTCTCTCTCTCACACACGCACGCCAAGGATCATGCATGCTTCTGTCTCCTCGTACCAGTTTTGACTCGTGTTCTTTTCCCGGAATAAAGCACGAGCGAGTATTCAAATAAGTCTAATGACACGAGGAGGGAATCGGGGATCTCAGGACCAGTTCCATATTAAATGCTGCGCGCCCACTTGAAGCAAGTCGATGTTCGGCGAGGTTGGCGTCGATGAAAATTAACATAATCGGTTTTACAGTTAGTATTTTCATGATTTACGGACCGGAACGCCTGCTTAATGAGACGTGTGCATGTTATCAGCTTGGGGATTTTTTTCTCGTATTTGTGTGACTCGTGTATTGTTTTTTGCAATGTTGCGCATGAGTGCTCTTCACTTTATAAAATATCTAATACATATGGACGGTTTTATCTACAGTATATTAATGAATATAACCTTTTTATTCCAAAATATCTAATACATATGGACGGTTTTATCTACAGTATATTAATGAATATAACCTTTTTATTCCAAAATATCTAATACATATGGACGGTTTTATGTACAGTATAATAATGAATATAACCCTTTTCATTACAAAAGTTCTAAGAAGAAAATTCAGAAAGGATGTGAGTCATAAACGCATACTCAATGTAATAAACACAAACACACATACAAGTATACACGTAACGCCACGTACAAAAACACATACGAACAAGAGGAATAAAAGAAAGAAAGAAAAAAAAAGATGGTGGGAAAAAAAACAAACAAAAAAAAAAAAAATGGTGCAGTAGATCAAAGAGGGAGACGAAATCCCAAGACATTTACCAGGGCTTGAGATGGTCTTGACTTACAGGCGACGAGTAGTGTGCTCATTTACCTTGGCGGGGCAAACTAAGGATGGGTATGAGGGAAATTCCTTGCCTCATACACACACATATACCGTGTGTGTGTGTGTGTGTGTGTGCGTGTGTTTATATATATATACGTAGTTGTATTTTACATACATACATATATATATATTATACATATATATATATATATATATATATATATATATATATATATATATATATATATATATATATATATATATATATATATATATATATATATATATATATATATATATTATATATATATATATGAATAAAGGAAAAGAAAAGAAAAA